CTCTCAACAGCACATCCATGAACTGCCTGGCGTGGCAGCCCCCGAAGCCCAGGGAGGAGCGTTCGCTGCTGGGGGAAGCGCTGGAGGACGCCAGTCTGTCATGGATGTGGTGGTCTGGGTGGTGGTGGTGGAGGGGGGGTCCCATAAACAACGGCAGGTCTTTGGTATCGGGGGACCCCTCCTCGGGCTCGTCATCGGGGTCGTACTCGATCTTGGGTTGCACCTGTTCTAAGGAGGAAAGGGGGTTCGTCAGGTGGTCCCTGTGTCCGTGGGGCGTCCGGCCCCCAATAATATGAGACGGGAACTCCCCTCTGGAGCTGCAGTCGTCGCTCTCCGAGTCCCTGCTGGGGCCGGGGGGCGTGGGGACACTGGGGAGGGCTGCTGAGGATGGGGGGTCTGTGACAGTGGATGGGGAGGGCTCTGAACTTACATTAGTAACTCCATCTCCCTCTAGTGACAACGGAGGAACAGTTACAGCTACAGAGGCACTGGAAGAAGGAGGTGGCAAGGCTGGGGTTCCACTGTCAGCCGGACCCTCTCTCTCCGTCTCTCTTTCCCGTTCCCTCCCTTTGTCTCTCTCTCTCTCCCTCTCCCTCTCTCTTTCTCTCTCTCTCTCCCTCTCTCTTTCTCGCTCTCTCTCCCTCTCCCCCTCTCTCGCTCTCTCCCCCTCATTATCCCTATTGTAGATCTCCAGAGAGGAGCGGATGTAGCCTTTACAGAAGGAGACCACGTCAGTCATCTGGAAGTAGCTGGCCGCTGACATCACCTCGATGACGTTCTCGCTGCGCAGGTCCAGTCGGCCCGAGTACAGGAAGTCCAGGATGGAGGAGAAGGCCTCGGCCGTCACGATGTCCAGAGAGGCCGTGCTGTGGTGCTGACCGCTGTCCTGAGGAGGGTGGTGGAGAGATTAGATTAGAGCTTACCCAACAACAAGTGTCCTTTCCATTCTTTTTAAACGGGAGTGCCATTGTCAACTGTGTTACTATAGCCATTATCAATCTCCCTTTCACAATACACAGGCTCCTTAACTATGTATTTTGTATCAGTACCAGGTAAAACAATACACAGGCTCCTTAACTATGTATTTTGTATCAGTACCAGGTAAACTTCATAAAACGACTCACCTGTAGGTAGTGGACCAATAGGGCGCGGAAGTAACCGCTGCCGGCGAATAGAACGTTGCGATGGGCCTTGAAGACCCGCCCCTCCACGACGATACAGCAGTCACAGAAGAAGTCTCTCTTCCGCTGCTCATTGAGCTCACACAGCAGCTTGGACTGGTAGCCTGACACCTCCATCTCCACAACACCTCTTCACGGGGGGGGGGGGGAGAGATAGAGAGAGACAAACAAATGAAGAACCCCAAGCCCTTGGGATCCCAACCCCTCTGAGCACCCCCCCCCGTCAGCCACCCTGATAGCCCTCATGACGACCTCCCCACACCCACTGAGGACATACACAAGCCACAGATTGTACTCCTTATGGACTCAAACGGGAAATACATACAAGAAAATAAACTTTTTCCCAAACACACAGTGTCTAAACTCTGGTGTCCAAACACCCAGCGCGCCCTAGACCTTCTGTCTGAGGACCGACTAGGATCACCCAGCCACATAATAATACACACAGGCACAAACGACCTGAGAACACAGCAGGAAAGGGTGGCCACAGCACTCAAGGGAGTGATAGAAAAAGCTTCTTCTACTTTCCCCAACGCACAAGTGGTTATCTCAACCCTGCTACCATGAAAATACTTCCACCCTGCTACAATACAGCAGGTAAACACAAGTATTTCCTGTGACTGTGCATCAAAACCAAATGTCTACCTGGCCCACCACTCCACCCTGGACGTGAACAGCCTTTATGACCAGGTCCACCTATACAAGGCAGCAGTGCCCACCTTCGCCCGGACCCTAAAGGATATCGCCCTCAACTGCAGACCCAACACCTCACACAGGAGCAACAGATCAACAGACCCCGCCCAGACCTCCGTTTTGGATAGATAGCTCTTCGTGTTGTTGTTTGTTTAGTGTTTTCCAATTTCCCCAGAAGTGGTTAGAGTCTATGGATTCTTCAATTACATTGAGCTGATTTCTGACATGCTGTTCCTTCTTTTTCCGTAGTGTATTTCTGTATTGTTTTAGTGATTCCCCATAGTGAAGGCGTAGGCTCAGGTTTTCTGTGTCTCTATGTTTTTGGTTGGATAGGTTTCTCAGTTTCTTTCTTAGGTTTTTGCATTCTTCATCAAAGCATTTGTCACTGTTGTTACTTTTCTTCGGTTTTCTGTTAGAGATTTTTTGATTTGATAGGGAAGCTGAGAAGTCAAATATACTGTTTAGGTTTTCTACTGCCAAGTTTACACCTTCACTATTACAGTGGAACGTTTTGTCCAGGAAGTTGTCTAAAAGGGATTGAATTTGTTGTTTCCTAATTGTTTTTTGGTAGGTTTCGACACTACTTTCCTTCCATCTATAGCATTTCTTAATATTATTCAGTTCCTTTGGCTTTGATTCCTCATGATTGAGTATTGCTCTGTTCAAGTAGACTGTGATTTTGCTGTGATCTGATAGGGGTGTCAGTGGGCTGACTGTGAACGCTCTGAGAGACTCTGGGTAGAGGTCAGTGATAAAGTAGTCTACAGTACTACTGCCAAGAGATGGGCTATAGGTGTACCTACCATAGGAGTCCCCTCGAAGCCTACCATTGACTATGTACATACCCAGCGTGCAACAGAGCTGCAGGAGTTGTGACCCGAATATTGTCACCTCCAGGTAGGTGTTTGTCCCCCTGTGTGCTGAGGGTGTCAGGTTCTTGTCCAGTTCTGGCATTTAGGTCGCCACAGACTAGTACATGTCCCTGGGTCTGGAAATGATTGATTTTTACATTTACATTTTTACATTTACGTCATTTAGCAGACGCTCTTATCCAGAGCGACTTACAGGAGCAATTAGGGTTAAGTGCCTTGCTTAAGGGCACATCGACAGATTTTTCACCTAGTCAGCTCGGGGATTAGAACCAGCGACCTTTCGGTTACTGGCACAACGCTCTTACCCACTAAGCTACCTGCCGCCCCTCTAGGATGGAGAAGCTGTCTTCATTAAAGTATTGGGATTCTAGTGGGGGGATATAGGTAGCACACATGAGGACATTTTTCTCTGTTGAGATCATTTCCTTTTGAATTTCTAGCCAAATGTAAAATGTTCCTGTTTTGTCTAATTTAATAGAGTGAGTTAGGTCTGCTCTATACCAAATTAGCATACCCCCTGAGTCTCTTCCCTGTTTCACACCTGGTAGTTTGGTGGATGGGACTACCAGCTCTCTGTAACCTAGAGGGCAACCAGTGGGTCCGTCTCCTCTATACCATGTTTCTTGTAGGATGACAATGTCTGTATTTCTTTGGTGAAGTCCAGGTTCCTGCTCTTTAGGCCAAAGGCAGATGACCTCCCCCCCCTTTTTGGCCCTATAACAAAGAACAAACAGCAAAAAAATATACATGATCAAATGTAAATCTTAGAATCAACTATTAAAGACTACCAGAACCCACTGGATTCTCTAATTACATTGAATGAACTACAGGACAAAATACAAACCCTCCAACCCAAAAAGGCCTGTGGTGTTGATGATATCCTCAATGAAATTATAAAATATACAGACCACAAATTCCAAATGGCTATACTTAAACTCTTTAACATCATCTTTAGCTCTGGCATCTTCCCCAATATTTGGAACCAAGGACTGATCACCCCAATCCACAAAAGTGGAGACAAATTTGACCCCAATAACTACCGTGGGATATGTGTCAACAGCAACCTTGGGAAAATCCTCTGCATTATCAATAACAGCAGACTAGTTCATTTCCTCAGTGAAGACAATGTACTGAGCAAATGTCAAATTGGCTTTTTACTAAATTACCCTACAACCGACCACGTATTCACCCTGCACACACTAACTGACAAACAAACAAACCAAAACAAAGGCAAAGTCTTCTCATGCTTTGTTGATTTCAAAAAAGCTTTTGACTCAATTTGGCATGAGGGCCTGCTATACAAATTGATGGAAAGTGGGGTTGGGGGAAAAACATACGACATTATAAAATCCATGTACACAAACAACAAGTGTGTGGTTAAAATTAGCAAAAAACACACACATTTCTTTCCACAGGGCCGTGGGGTGAGACAGGGATGCAGTTTAAGCCCCACCCTCTTCAACATATATATCAACAAATTGGCGAGGGCACTAGAACAGTCTGCAGCACCCGGCCTTACCCTACTAGAATCTGAAGTCAAATGTCTACTGTTTGCTGATGATCTGGTGCTTCTGTCCCCAACCAAGGAGGGCCTACAGCAGCACCTAGATCTTCTGCACAGATTCTGTCAGACCTGGGCCCTGACAGTAAATCTTAGTAAGACAAAAATAATGGTGTTCCAAAAAAGGTCCAGTTGCCAGGACCACAAATACCATCTAGACACCGTTGCCCTAGAGCACACAAAAAACTATACATACCTCGGCCTAAACATCAGCGCCACAGGTAACTTCCACAAAGCTGTGAATGATCTGAGAGACAAGGCAAGAAGGGCCTTCTATGCCATCAAAAGGAACATAAAATTTGACATACAGTGGGGAAAAAAAGTATTTAGTCAGCCACCAATTGTGCAAGTTCTCCCACTTAAAAAGATGAAAGAGGCCTGTAATTTTCATCATAGGTGCACGTCAACTATGACAGACAAATTGAGGAAAAAAAATCAAGAAAATCACATTGTAGGATTTTTAATGAATTTATTAGCAAATTATGGTGGAAAATAAGTATTTGGTCACCTACAAACAAGCAAGATTTCTAGCTCTCACAGACCTGTAACTTCTTCTTTAAGAGGCTCCTCTGTCCTCCACTGGTTACCTGTATTAATGGCACCTGTTTGAACTTGTTATCAGTATAAAAGACACCTGTCCACAACCTCAAACAGTCACACTCCAAACTCCACTATGGCCAAGACCAAAGAGCTGTCAAAGGACACCAGAAACAAAATTGTAGACCTGCACCAGGCTGGGAAGACTGAATCTGCAATAGGTAAGCATCTTGGTTTGAAGAAATAAACTGTGGGAGCAATTAGTAGGAAATGGAAGACATACAAGACCACTGATAATCTCCCTCGATCTGGGGCTCCACGCAAGATCTCACCCCGTGGGGTCAAAATGATCACAAGAACGGTGAGCAAAAATCCCAGAACCACACGGGGGACCTAGTGAATGACCTGCAGAGAGCTGGGACCAAAGTAACAAAGCCTACCATCAGTAACACACTACGCCGCCAGGGACTCAAATCCTGCAGTGCTAGACGTGTCCCCCTGCTTAAGACAGTACATGTCCAGGCCCGTCTGAAGTTTGCTAGAGTGCATTTGGATGATCAGGAAGAGGATTGGGAGAATGTCATATGGTCAGATGAAACCAAAATAGAACTTTTTGGTAAAAACTCAACTCGTCGTGTTTGGAGGACAAAGAATGCTGAGTTGCATCCAAAGAACACCATACCTACTATGAAGCATGGGGGTGGAAACATCATGCTTTGGGGCTGTTTTTCTGCAAAGGGACCAGGACGACTGATCCGTGCAAAGGAAAGAATTAATGGGGCCATGTATCGTGAGATTTTGAGTGAAAACCTCCTTCCATCAGTAAGGGCATTGAAGATGAAACGTGGCTGGGTTTCGGATAGATAGCTCTTCGTGTTGTTGTTTGTTTAGTGTTTTCCAATTTCCCCAGAAGTGGTTAGAGTCTATGGATTCTTCAATTACATTGAGCTGATTTCTGACATGCTGTTCCTTCTTTTTCCGTAGTGTATTTCTGTATTGTTTTAGTGATTCCCCATAGTGAAGGCGTAGGCTCAGGTTTTCTGTGTCTCTATGTTTTTGGTTGGATAGGTTTCTCAGTTTCTTTCTTAGGTTTTTGCATTCTTCATCAAAGCATTTGTCACTGTTGTTACTTTTCTTCGGTTTTCTGTTAGAGATTTTTTGATTTGATAGGGAAGCTGAGAAGTCAAATATACTGTTTAGGTTTTCTACTGCCAAGTTTACACCTTCACTATTACAGTGGAACGTTTTGTCCAGGAAGTTGTCTAAAAGGGATTGAATTTGTTGTTTCCTAATTGTTTTTTGGTAGGTTTCGACACTACTTTCCTTCCATCTATAGCATTTCTTAATATTATTCAGTTCCTTTGGCTTTGATTCCTCATGATTGAGTATTGCTCTGTTCAAGTAGACTGTGATTTTGCTGTGATCTGATAGGGGTGTCAGTGGGCTGACTGTGAACGCTCTGAGAGACTCTGGGTAGAGGTCAGTGATAAAGTAGTCTACAGTACTACTGCCAAGAGATGGGCTATAGGTGTACCTACCATAGGAGTCCCCTCGAAGCCTACCATTGACTATGTACATACCCAGCGTGCAACAGAGCTGCAGGAGTTGTGACCCGAATATTGTCACCTCCAGGTAGGTGTTTGTCCCCCTGTGTGCTGAGGGTGTCAGGTTCTTGTCCAGTTCTGGCATTTAGGTCGCCACAGACTAGTACATGTCCCTGGGTCTGGAAATGATTGATTTTTACATTTACATTTTTACATTTACGTCATTTAGCAGACGCTCTTATCCAGAGCGACTTACAGGAGCAATTAGGGTTAAGTGCCTTGCTTAAGGGCACATCGACAGATTTTTCACCTAGTCAGCTCGGGGATTAGAACCAGCGACCTTTCGGTTACTGGCACAACGCTCTTACCCACTAAGCTACCTGCCGCCCCTCTAGGATGGAGAAGCTGTCTTCATTAAAGTATTGGGATTCTAGTGGGGGGATATAGGTAGCACACATGAGGACATTTTTCTCTGTTGAGATCATTTCCTTTTGAATTTCTAGCCAAATGTAAAATGTTCCTGTTTTGTCTAATTTAATAGAGTGAGTTAGGTCTGCTCTATACCAAATTAGCATACCCCCTGAGTCTCTTCCCTGTTTCACACCTGGTAGTTTGGTGGATGGGACTACCAGCTCTCTGTAACCTAGAGGGCAACCAGTGGGTCCGTCTCCTCTATACCATGTTTCTTGTAGGATGACAATGTCTGTATTTCTTTGGTGAAGTCCAGGTTCCTGCTCTTTAGGCCAAAGGCAGATGACCTCCCCCCCCTTTTTGGCCCTATAACAAAGAACAAACAGCAAAAAAATATACATGATCAAATGTAAATCTTAGAATCAACTATTAAAGACTACCAGAACCCACTGGATTCTCTAATTACATTGAATGAACTACAGGACAAAATACAAACCCTCCAACCCAAAAAGGCCTGTGGTGTTGATGATATCCTCAATGAAATTATAAAATATACAGACCACAAATTCCAAATGGCTATACTTAAACTCTTTAACATCATCTTTAGCTCTGGCATCTTCCCCAATATTTGGAACCAAGGACTGATCACCCCAATCCACAAAAGTGGAGACAAATTTGACCCCAATAACTACCGTGGGATATGTGTCAACAGCAACCTTGGGAAAATCCTCTGCATTATCAATAACAGCAGACTAGTTCATTTCCTCAGTGAAGACAATGTACTGAGCAAATGTCAAATTGGCTTTTTACTAAATTACTCTTTAACATTGAAGATGAAACGTGGCTGGGTTTTTCAGCATGACAATGATCCCAAACACACCGCCCGGGCAACAAAGGAGTGGCTTCGTAAGAAGCATTTCAAGGTCCTGGAGTGGCCTAGCCAGTCTCCAGATCTCAACCCCATAGAAAATCTTTGGAGGGAGTTGAAAGTCTGTGTTGCCCAGCGACAGCCCCAAAACATCACTGTTCTAGAGGAGATCTGCATGGAGGAATGGGCCAAAATACCAGCAACAGTGTGTGAAAACCTTGTGAAGACTTACAGAAAATGTTTGACCTGTGTCATTGCCAACAAAGGGTATATAACAAAGTATTGAGAAACTTTTGTTATTGACCAAATACTTATTTTCCACCATCATTTGCAAATAAATTCATTAAAAATCCTTCAATGTGATTTTCTGGATTTTTTTTTCTCATTTTGTCTGTCATAGTTGACGTGTACCTATGAGGAAAATTACAGGCCTCTCTCATCTTTTTAAGTTGGAGAACTTGCACAATTGGTGGCTGACTAAATACTTTTTTTCCCCACTGTAACAATTAGGATCTGGCTAACAATACTTGAATCAGTTATAGAACCCATTGCCCTTTATGGTTGTGAGGTCTGGGGTCCGCTCACCAACCAAGAATTCACAAAATGGGACAAACACCAAATTGAAACTCTGCATGCAGAATTCTGCAAAAATATCCTCTGTGTACAACGAAAAACACCAAATAATGCATGCAGAGTAGAATTATAAAAAGATATGTATTCACTAACTGTAAGTCGCTCTGGATAAGAGCGTCTGCTAAATGACTAAAATGTAATGTAAATGTAATTAGGCCGATACCCGCTAATTATCAAAATCCAGAAAAGAGCCGTTAAATTCTATAACCACTTAAAAGGAAGCGATTCCCAAAACTTCCATAACAAAGCCATCACCTACAAATAGTCCCCTAAGTAAGCTGGTCCTGGGGCTCTGTTCACAAACACAAACAGACCCCACAGAGCCCCAGGACAACAACAACATTTACATTTTAGTCATTTAGCAGACGCTCTTATCCAGAGCAACTTACAGTTTTAGTGAATGCATACATTTTTTCATACTGGCCCCCCGTGGGAATCGAACCCACAACCCTGGCGTTGCAAGCGCCATGCTCTGCCAACAATTAGACCCAACCATATCATGAGAAAACAAAGAGAGAATTACTTGACACATTGGAAAGAATTAACAAAAAAACAGAGCAAACTAGAATGCTATTTGGCTCTAAACAGAGAGTACACAGTGGCAGAATTACCTGACCACTGTGACTGACCCAAATTTAAGGAAAGCTTTGACTATGTACAGACTCAGTGAGCATAGCCTTGCTATTGAGAAAGGCCGCCGTAGGCAGACCTGGCTCTCAAGAGAAGACAGGTTATGTGCACACTGCCCACAAAATGAGGTGGAAACTGAGCTGCACTTCCTAACCTCCTGCCAAATGTATGACCATATTAGAGACACATATTTCCCTCAGATTACAGAGATCCACAAAGAATTTGAAAACAAACCCAATTTTGATAACTCCCTTATCTACTGGGTGAAAAACCACAGTGTGACATCACAGCAGCAAAATGTGTGACCTGTTGCCACAAGAAAAGGGCAACCAGTGAAGAACAAACACCATTGTAAATACAACCCATATTTATGTTTATTTATTTTCCCATTTGTACTTTAACTATTTGCACATCGTTACAACACTGTATATATACATAATATGACATTTGAAATATCTTTATTCTTTTGGAACTTCTGAGTGTAATGTTTACTGTTAATATTTATTGTTTATTTCACTTTTGTTTACTATCTACTTCACTTGCTTTGGCAATGTTAACACACGTTTCCCATGCCAATAAAGCCCTTAAATTTAATTGAATTGAGAGAGAGGATGGGAGCCAGGGAGGAGAGAGAGAGAGGATGGGAGCCAGGGAGGAGAGTTAAAACAGCTTGGACTGGTAGCCTGACACCTCCATCTTCCCAACACTGCTGGGCACTAAAGAGAGCGGGACAGAATGAGAAGGATTGAGAGAGAGCAATGTGAGATAAGGCAAAGCGGGTAAGCAGAGAAATTTAGAAAGGATAGGGCTGCCTAGTGCCTATGAGATATGTAGAAAGGATAGGGCTGCCTATGAGATATGTAGAAAGGATAGGGCTGCCTACGAGATATGTAGAAAGGATAGGGCTCCCTAGTACCTATGAGATATGTAGAAAGGATAGGGCTGCCTAGTACCTATGAGATATGTAGAAAGGATAGGGCTCCCTAGTGCCTATGAGATATGTAGAAAGGATAGGGCTCCCTAGTGCCTATGAGATATGTAGAAAGGATAGGGCTGCCTATGAGATATGTAGAAAGGATAGGGCTGCCTATGAGATATGTAGAAAGGATAGGGCTGCCTATGAGATATGTAGAAAGGATAGGGCTGCCTATGAGATATGTAGAAAGGATAGGGCTGCCTAGTACCTATGAGATATGTAGAAAGGATAGGGCTCACTAGTACCTATGAAATATGTAGAAAGGATAGGGCTGCCTATGAGATATGTAGAAAGGATAGGGCTCCCTAGTGCCTATGAAATATGTAGAAAGGATAGGGCTGCCTATGAGATATGTAGAAAGGATAGGGCTCCCTAGTACCTATGAGATATGTAGAAAGGATAGGGCTCACTAGTACCTATGAAATATGTAGAAAGGATAGGGCTGCCTATGAGATATGTAGAAAGGATAGGGCTGCCTAGTACCTATGAGATATGTAGAAAGGATAGGGCTCCCTAGTGCCTATGAAATATGTAGAAAGGATAGGGCTGCCTATGAGATATGTAGAAAGGATAGGGCTCCCTAGTACCTATGAGATATGTAGAAAGGATAGGGCTCCCTAGTACCTATGAGATATGTAGAAAGGATAGGGCTGCCTAGTACCTATGAGATATGTAGAAAGGACAGGGCTGCCTATGAGATATGTAGAAAGGATAGGGCTCTTTAGTGCCTATGAGATATGTAGAAAGGATTGGGCTGCCTATGACATATGTAGAAAGGATAGGGCTGCCAAGTACCTATGAGATATGTAGAAAGGATATGGCTCCCTAGTACCTATGACATATGTAGAAAGGATAGGGCTGCCTAGTGCCTATGAGATATGTGGTAAGGATAGGGCTCCCTAGTACCTATGAGATATGTAGAAAGGATAGGGCTCCCTAGTGCCTATGAAATATGTAGAAAGGATAGGGCTGCCTATGAGATATGTAGAAAGGATAGGGCTGCCTAGTACCTATGAGATATGTAGAAAGGATAGGGCTCCCTAGTGCCTATGAAATATGTAGAAAGGATAGGGCTGCCTATGAGATATGTAGAAAGGATAGGGCTGCCTAGTACCTATGAGATATGTAGAAAGGATAGGGCTCCTTAGTGCCTATGAGATATGTAGAAAGGATAGGGCTCTTAGTGCCTATGAGATATGTAGAAAGGATAGGGCTGCCTAGTACCTATGATACATGTAGAAAGGATAGGGCTGCCTAGTACCTATGAGATATGTAGAAAGGATAGGGCTCCTAGTACCTATGACATATGTAGAAAGGATAGGGGCTGTCCTATGAGATATGTAGAAAGGATAGGGCTGCCTAGTACCTATGAGATATGTAGAAAGGATAGGGCTCCTAGTGCCTAATGCGATATGTAGAAAGGATAGGGCTCTTAGTGCCTATGAGATATGTAGAAAGGATAGGGCTGCCTAGTACCTATGATACATGTAGAAAGGATAGGGCTGCCTAGTACCTATGAGATATGTAGAAAGGATAGGGCTGCCTAGTACCTATGAGATATGTAGAAAGGATAGGGCTGCCTAGTACCTATGAGATATGTAGAAAGGATAGGGCTGCCTATGAGATATGTAGAAAGGATAGGGCTGCCTAGTACCTATGAGATATGTAGAAAGGATAGGGCTCCCTAGTGCCTATGAAATATGTAGAAAGGATAGGGCTCCCTAGTAGCCTATGAAATATGTAGAAAGGATAGGGCTCCTATGAGATATGTAGAAAGGATAGGGCTCCTAGTGCCTATGAGATATGTAGAAGGATAGGGCTCCTTAGTGCCTAGTGAGATATGTAGAAAGGATAGGGCTGCCTATAGATACTGTAGAAAGGATAGGGCTGCCTAGTACCTATGAGATATTAGAAAGGATAGGGCTGCCTAGTGCCTATGATATATGTATATCTAGTTTGAATATGGGCTGCCTAGTCCTATGTATGTAGTGGTGCTTAGTGAAAGGATTGGGCTCCTTAGTGCCTATGATATATGTAGAAAGGATAGGGCTCTTAGTGCCTATGAGATATGTAGAAAGGATAGGGCTCCCTAGTACCTATGAACATGTAGAAAGGATAGGGCTGCCTAGTCCTATGAGATATGTAGAAAGGATAGGCTGCCTATGAGATATGTAGAAAGGATAGGGCTGCCTAGTACCTATGAGATATGTAGAAAGGATAGGGCTGCCTATACCGTATGATATGTAGAAAGGATAGGGCTCCTAGTCCTATGAGATATGTAGAAAGGATAGGGCTGCCTAGTGCCTATGAATATGTAGAAAGGATAGGGCTCCCTAGTACCTATGAGATATGTAGAAAGGATAGGGCTGCCCTGTCCTATGAGATATGTAGAAAGGATAGGGCTGCTAGTGCCTATGAGATATGTAGAAAGGATAGGGCTCCCAGTGCCTATGAATATGTAGAAAGGATAGGGCTCCTGTCCTATGAATATGTAGAAAGGATAGGGCTCCCTAGTGCCTATGAGATATGTAGAAAGGATAGGGCTGCCTATGAGATATGTAGAAAGGATAGGGCTCCCTAGTACCTATGAGATATGTAGAAAGGATAGGGCTCTTAGTGCCTATGAGATATGTAGAAAGGATAGGGCTGCCTAGTACCTATGATACATGTAGAAAGGATAGGGCTGCCTAGTACCTATGAGATATGTAGAAAGGATAGGGCTGCCTAGTACCTATGAGATATGTAGAAAGGATAGGGCTCCCTAGTACCTATGAGATATGTAGAAAGGATAGGGCTTGTCCTATGAGATATGTAGAAAGGATAGGGCTCCTAGTACTATGAGATGTGTAGAAAGGTATAGGGCTCCCTGAGTGCCGTATAATATGTAGAAAGATAGGGCTGCCTAGTAATAACTCCTATGACATATGTAGAAAGGATAGGGCTGCCCTAGTACCTATGAGATATGTAGAAAGGATAGGGCTGCCTAGTGCCTATGAGATATGTAGAAAGGATATGGCTCCCTAGTACCTATGAGATATGTAGAAAGGATAGGGCTCCCTAGTGCCTATGAAATATGTAGAAAGGATAGGGCTGCCTAGTACCTATGAGATGTGTAGAAAGGATAGGGCTGCCTAGTACCTATGAGATATGTAGAAAGGATAGGGCTGCCTATGAGATATGTAGAAATGATAGGGCTGCCTATGAGATATGTAGAAAGGATAGGCTGCCTAGTCCTATGGATATGTAGAAAGGATAGGGCTGCCTAGTCCTATGAGATATTAGAAAGGATAGGGCTGCCTAGTACCTATGAGATATGTAGAAAGGATAGGGCTGCCTAGTACCTATGAGATATGTAGAAAGGATAGGGCTCCCTAGTACCTATGAGATATGTAGAAAGGATAGGGCTCCCTAGTGCCTATGAGATATGTAGAAAGGATAGGGCTCCCTAGTGCCTATGAGAATATGTAGAAAGGATAGGGCTCCCTAGTGCCTATGAGATATGTAGAAAGGATAGGGCTCCCTAGTGCCTATGAGATATGTAGAAAGGATAGGGCTGCCTAGTGCCTATGAGATATGTAGAAAGGATAGGGCTGCCTAGTGCCTATGAGATATGTAGAAAGGATAGGGCTGCCCTAGTACCTATGAGATATGTAGAAAGGATAGGATGCTCTTCTAGTAACCTATGCAGATATGTAAGTGATAGGGCCTCCCTAGTCCTATAGATAGTTCACAAACCGGATCCTGGGCTTCCCTAGTGTCCTATGAGACTATGAAAACCCCCCCCTGCCTAGAAGAGAAAGGATTCAGCTCCTAGTGCCTATGATATGTCTGAAAGGATAGGAGCTATACTGAAAAATAGCCATAGTGCTGAGATATGTAGAAAGGTAGGGCTCCTAGTCCTTTAGTAGAGATCACTGATAGAAAGGATAGCTTGCCTAGTGCCTAGAGAATGTAGTCAGATAGGGCATGCCTAAGTACCCATGAGATATGTAGTAAAGGATAGGGAACTCCTACTGTACTAGTAAACAAACCCCTCTGCCAGTTCACTCTCCTCTCCTCTCCTCTCTCTCCTCTCCTCTCCCTAACCACACGTTCCACCTCAGTCCCCGGATCTCCTGGCGCAGTTACCTTCATGTGAACCTGTCTACATCAACTACCCCCACCCTGCCTAGAAGAGAAGATTCACAACTGATAACCATAGGAAGGCTCTGAGGGAAAGCTCTAAACTAAAGACATAGTAGCTAGTTATGAGAAAGGTTTTTCTCCACTCCTGTCCCTTTAGTAGAATCACTGATGAAGAAGTAGCTATATTTTTGTAGTTTGCGAGAATGCTGTCAGCTAGCTAGCATGCTAAGCAGAACCTCGGTATTGATAGCTAGCTAACTAGCATTACATGTATCAAACATTCCGTACAAATGAACATATAAGACAAACATTTAAACTCGTATAAAAAACGTTACCTGACTAAACGTTGAAAGCTGTCGTAAGTAAACACATAGCTAGCTAGGTTGATATGCTGTTGTAGCCTTAGCAGCTAGTTAGCTAACCACAACAACCAGCTTTTCACTAGTTACCACAGCCACAAAGTCAAAATTGCCTATATCGTAAAAATTCATAAAAACTAAAATGAGCTTTTTGGTCTTAATTTAAGGTTAGGGATTGTCATAAGGTCAGCAATGTGTTTAAGATTGGGGTTAGGTTTAAAATCACATGTAGAAATAGGCGGGGGGTGTATGACTTTGTGGCCGTGGTAACTAGTGACAACCCAACAACCACTGCTCATTTCCCCATTCTGTGTGACAGTCAGAAGATTCGGCCAATGAGAGACGACATAAATATTAGGGCGCGGCTAAGAGGCGCTGAGCCAATCTCATCATGTAAAACTAGACTAGGTTTCTTTATCATCACTAGAGGGCAGAAAATCACTGAGTTAGCCCAGTACAGCTAGCCTACACCACAGATTATCCATTATATTGACCAGATATTCTAGTGGCCGCTCTATTGCAGTGGGTGAAGGAAGTCAAACCAGACAGAGTAGTTTTTTTTGCTCTGATTCATGTGCAGTGTTAGTGAGTCTCCAGTCATTTAGCTCACATAGCAGACACGATCTGCTTTATGAGGTGCTACAAACCCATGGCAGGATTAGACAGATGGGTATACAGATAAGATTTACTTGGGTCCCAGCCCATGTGGGGGTGGAGGGGAACAAGGCAGTTGATGTACTGGCTAAACAAGCACTTAGTAGCGGGGATGTTGATGTTGTAGTTTCAATGAGCAAGGCAGACGCAAAAAGCCTGATATGGACAGTGATGGTGCAGAGATGGCAGGAGCAGTGCAATAGAGAAACTAAGGGCAGGCATTTATTTTTACAAGATTAAGGGTGGGACATAGCCAGTTGAATAATACCTTTAATGTGATAGGAAAGCATCCAACAGGAAAGTGTGATTATTGCCAGGAAACAGAGACCGTGGAGCATGTATTGCTACAGTGTGGGCAGTATCAGAGGGAAAGAGAGAGGATGAGATCTAGTATGAGGGAGAAGGGGATACAGGAAATTAGTTTAAAGAGTATATTGAGTAGAACGTCATTAGATATAGTCTCAAATATTTTGTTATCTTTTTTAAGAGCAACGGGGCTGGCAGGTAGGATTTCGTTTCTCCCTGCCTCTGGCCCACACTCCAGTACAGTAGGTGGCGGTAATGCACCATAACGTTGGATGCCAACCGCCGATAAACCCCACCGAAGAAGAAGTGGCCGCTCTAACAACGACCAGGCACAACTCCGATATAAAGTGGGTTTTCGCAAAGTTGCTGGGATGTCACATATCCTACTTATATCAGTACACTGGCAACAACTTAGTCATTACCAAACTTCTATTAGATCAAATAAACCTCACGTAGCAAATAAACCATTCAATTTCTTCTTAACCAAATTCGACACCTTCTTTGACCCCCCATACAAAACTCCTCACTGGTTAGCAAAAAATATATAAAATAAACGCCACCTGCTGGAGAAGACAGATTCTGGGCCCAGGATGGCGTGTGATGAACCTCTATGTGCAGATAATAATATAATAATAATATGCCATTTAGCAGACGCTTTTATCCAAAGCGACTTACAGTCGTGCGTGCATAATTTTTTATTTTTTATATTTTTGTGTATGGGTGGTCCCAGGGATCGAACCCACTACCTTGGCGTTACAAGTGCCGTGCTCTACCAGCTGAGCTACAGAGGATCACAGTCCCTGTGATAAGATTGTTGCCTGTGTTTCTTTTGATCTAGAGTGGGATAGAGCGGCTGAAGTATTCTTAATTTCCTGAGTTGGAGTAACTCAAAGTGGGATAGAGCGTCTGGCGTCTATTCTTCCCCATTCCCTGGGCTCTTCATATCCAAAGGAATTGGAGATAGTTGATAGTTTGGCGGTTGGTAGATAGTCATGTATTATAGCACCACCTCACTGTCTGATGGGTCAGGAAGCTGAACTCCATCCATTCCTTTAGACTAGGGGCTGTTTCTAGACATGGCCTCCTATGCGCCTGCACACATTGTCCTCTGAGGAATGCATGGTTTTTTTGCCCTTTGTTCCGGAGTAAAAACAGTTCCCTTTTTTTTTCTTTTTTCGGACAGAGCGAAAGTAAACAAGTAGTTCCTTTAAGGGCGCACCGACCGCACCCTTTCAGCACAATCCACTAAAAACCCTCTGGAGTGTGTTTTACACCGAGGGGTCCCGAGTCCCGACCGGGCGGTGGACCTCTTATTTGTTGTAAAGATTTTTCCTGTGGTAAACTGGGCAGAACACAAAGGCACACACACACACAAATACATGCACACACACACACACACACACACACACACACACACACACACACACACACTCACACACACAAAGGCTTACATCAGGCCTCCATACCCCCTTTTGAAAATTAAATGTATGGAGCCTCATAACAACTCCATTCACGCTCATAACCCTAAATATAACCCTGTGTAAACCACCACTATGGTGTGTCCTCAAACTCCCCATCTCTGGAAACATGACCTGATGGAGGGAGGGAGGGATGGAGGGAGAGGGAGGGAGGGAGGGAGGGAGAGGGAGGGAGGGAGGGAGGGAGGAGAGAGGGAGGGAGGGAGGACACAGGAATAGGTCTGGATCCTAGTTATAGCCTGTAGGACTCAGAGTTATCCCTGGCCAGTTCAGACAGTCAGGAAAAACTCAGAGCCCTACCCATAGCCAGCTGAGTCTATACTCCTACATGTTGTCCCAACACAGCTGAACTGAGATGACCTCAGGGATGGAACTTTGGTTCCTCTTCGTCTTAGTAAGGAATATTTTATGATTAGCTATTCGCAGAATGTCAGTCTTTTACCGTCTCATGTCAGTTCTGTAGTTAGTAGACTGACCAGTCTATGTTCCAGTATTTCTTATATCCTCCACAGTTTAAGTGGATGGGTTGATCATCAATAAGACAATCTGTTATATTGCTGATTAGTACTTTGCAATATATGCATTTGTAAAAAGGATACAGATAAATGGATTGATTGATGTCATAAACAGACTTAACCATGATTAGACCCCCAGGTTTCTTTAATTCCTTGT